AGTGGATTAAATCTGAAAAGTAGCTCACACTTACTGGCTCTCCTGCATATCATTGTATAGTTGAATCCTTCAGCTGCTGAATCGTGTTAAAAGTTTTGGCGGCCATTTAGTTTCGGTCGAGGGGTGAGTGGCGAAACTTGCCTTACTTGGCAAGTTCGCCTGCGTTTCTCCATAAGCGAAGTCCAGAAGGATTGTCAGAATAGAAAGCGAGAAATCGAGTAAATACCACTCGAAAATTTTCCATTTCTAAAGACTGCATACTTTTTATCACTATTTTTCATGTGGCTATGGTTTTAACCCAACGAAGAAGAGGGAGAAGACGGTGGAACGTGAACTTACTGCCCACCATGTTTTTGTAGGGTTTGTGGAACGTCAGGAATCTGGATTCCGGAGTGCGGAATTCGCAACCCTTTTCCTTTCGTTCTTTGTGGAAAATCATTTCGCATTTACAACATTTTTTGTATCTCTCTTTTTTTTAATTATAGAATATTTAGCAGGAATTCTCAGAAGTCTTCTTAGCCTGCTTTAGGCACTAGGGGGATTCTCTAACCAAACTGTCGCTTCTGTTGAAAGATGTCTCCATTTAAATATTTTACTTCATAAGAGGAGATATCTGAAACTGATAAACTATGATTCAAGAACAGCTGAACAGTGTAGATGTGAAGTGTCAATAGGTCATTTTAAGCTGTTATTATTTTCCTCGCTCTCGCTATTTTTCCTCGTCTTTTCCTGTCTATAAAGTGTGATTTTCGGGCTCAGTGACAAACGAACCTTCTTCGCCTAATAATAATATTACCTGTAAGTTGTTTCTTCTTTGCAGTCCAAGAAGTCGACTTGTGAAATTCTTTGAATAGCCTGAGAATGACTTTTCCGGAACTTCGAACAAATCGCTGTTGAGATTAATTCAGGGGTGACTAAACAAGCTCTAGCATGTGATAGGGAATGCCCTCTTTCCCTTGTGCCACTGCGCCCTTACTCCACTGCTGTCGCAGCTCTTATAGACTGTGGGTTCTTAGCGAACTTCCTTTGCTGTGGAAAACATTTCAACAAACTGAATTGAAAGAGTCTCTCACATGAGGTCACTTTCAAAAGGCAAGTAGGTGTTTGAATCTACTACATGGTTCAAATAAAGAGGGTTTCTTTAACCGAGAAGTTTATGATCTTGTTGATAAATAAGGGCAGTTGTATAACTCTCAAACAAAGCAAATAAAACGGAATTTTCACATTTGCATTGAAATGAAATACAAATTAGATGTCATAAAATGAAATATTATGTTATGTTATGATATGTTATGTTATGTTATGTTATGTTATGCTACGTTATGTTATGTAATGTAATGTAATGTAATGTAAAATATTTGTAATGTAATTGTAATGTTACCTTATGTTATGTAATGTAATGTTATTTAATGTAATGTAATGTTATGTTACGTAATGTTATGTAATGTAATGTAATGTTACGTAATGTTATGTTACGTAATGTTATGTTATGTGATGTTATGTTATGTTATGTTATATTATGTAATGTTATGTAATGTTTTGTAATGTAATGTAATGTAATGTAATGTAATGAAATGTTATGTTATGTTATGTTATGTTATGTTATGTTACGTTACGCTACGTGACGTTACGTTACGTTATGTAATGTAATGTAATGCTATGTTATGTTATGTTATGTTATGTTACGTTATGTTATGTAATGTAGTATTATATAATGTAATGTTATGTAATGTAATGTTATGTAATGTTATGTAATGTAATGTTACGTAATGTTATGTTACGTAATGTTATGTTATGTTACGTTATGTTATGCTATGTTATGTTATGCTATGCTATGCTAGCTATGCTATGCTATGCTATGTTATGTTATGTTATGTTATGTTATGTTATGTTATGTTATGTTATGTTATGTTGTTATATAATGTAATGTTATGTAAATGTAATGTTACGGAATGTTATGTTACGTAATGTTATGTTACGTTATGTTATGTTACGTTATGTTATGTTATGTTATGTTATGTTATGTTATGTTATGTTATGTTATGTTATGTTATGATATGTTATGTTATGTTATGTTATGTTATGTTATGTTATGTTATGTTATGTTATGTTATGTTATGTTATGTTATGTTATGTAATGGAATGTTATGTCATGTGGTGCCGAACGAAAATTCGTTTTAAAAAAAATTACGGAAGCGAATTTCTCCAATCTAGTTTCATATTTGTTATATGCTTATTAAAAGAAGTCAACAGAAAAATTATGAGCGAAATCTATTTTGTGGGCAAAACTCGGTATGAGGATCTTACAGAGACTGGCTCTTAAGTAAAAACGAAAAACCTAGAAAGGGAAATGGGAAGCGAAAAAAAGGAAAAAGTAGAGAAAAATAACTCGGTCATAATCGGCAGTTGAGTGTCATTCACTGGATTGCACCTGTTCATAATGGAAAGATTGTTGATACAGTCGCTGAAGTTTATTTAGTTCAAACTCGAGTTTTAATGATAAAAGTCTGTTGGAGTAGACAGCAGCTGCAGACATTTCGCTTTATCTTTTCAGAAACAAAATGTCCGGCTCATTATATAATAAAGGATAATAAAAAGTTTAAGTCATTCAAACAAAATATACGCAGTCTGCATGCAACTCATAAGCCGCAGTTCTAAACAAGAGACGATGAAGGTTTTGCTGTCATGTGGAATTAAGGAAATGTCACGTGGTCACGTATCGACCAATCAGGCATTTTTCGCCGGCAGGGGCCCATGGACTTTTGTCGCCAGGAATGAAGCTAGGGACCACTTTCCCTGAGTACGCGCACTTACCACTTGTTCAACTAACACTAATTGTAAGACCGCAGTCCGCTTCGTCTTCGTCATCCGGAAGCTTAGCGAAGGTGTAACAAGCTTGACCACAGCTGAAAAAAACTGAAGTGAAGAGAAAAGCCAGTTAAGCGATTTTTCGAATAAGCTCAAACACCACTGGTGTCCTCTTGCTTGCAGTCGCCGACTTCGTACCCTTGATTGACCAAATTACGAAAGGTCAACATCACACCCCCGTCAAATGTTTCCATTTCAAATTCTCCACTTGCTACCTTCAATCTGTTTTCCTGTGCTAGACTTGTCTCTCTCCGTTTCTTGCATCGGCAGGAATTAAAGAAAGGGCAAAGTAGCCTAAGAAACCCTTTTCTATATTCCTGGTGTGTGGAGCAATAAATGACGGGATTGATGCACGAGTTAAACATAGCAAGGACGACGGTGAAGCGATGAGAAGGCGACTCTAATCTAACAAGGCCATAAGAAGATAGGACATAGTAAAGCTGATTTGGAAACCAGCATATTGTGAATAACAGTGCAACTATAACGCACATACGAAGAAGCTTAAGCCGTGCTCGAGCTAAACGTCCATTATTTTTAATTGCTGGGGATGTCTTAAGCGCAAGGGAAATGTGCAGATACGTAACCCACGTAACTACATTTGGAAAAAAGAATGTCACGATTGTGATGGTCATTGGTGTTAGTTGTTTGGGAAAATCGGGCGTTATCCACACACATCGCAGTTTTTTTTCATCAAGCGTCATTTCAAACAGCATTAATGAATGCAATAAGAGACAGGTTATCCATATGATTACAAGATACACACAAACTCTTCCTCTTTTAAACTTGAGTCGATATTTGACAGGCTTAACCACAGAATACCATCTTTCCAGAGTAAGACACGTGACCGTAAGACAGGAAACTTTACCAAATACAAACACGAAGTAACTGGAACAAATGACTTTGCAGAAAATTACCCCAGGTAATCCGCCTGGAACTTGGTAGGATCCTAGGGGGACAACGTAGTTTGGCGTCACACCAATAATCACCCCTTGAAAATAAAAAAGAAATGAAATAGACAATATTCGTATTCCCGACGGTCCTGGGACGAGTAGGTCTTGAACATGAATGCGAGGCTAATGCCGGGAACCTCTCACTAAGAGGACAAACAAACATGAGAAAACTATGGCTGAGTTGTCAGAATAAAGGAAAATGTTTAACGTTGGAAAATTTCGGAGAGCTTACAGTCTTAAGAAATCATTATTTTAAATTTAGAAAAGCAGCGAGGCTAACCAGATATTGATGAAAAGAGTGGTTGGTGAGCGATTTTGTAGAAAAATTAAATGCGAAGATGGTCTCAAAATCCGTCAATCCCTACTACTTGCAAAGACTGTGGGCATCCTAAATAAGGTATACTGCATGACTGTTTAAAAACTAATGACTTCCTTAAGAAACTCTATTTAATGGCAATAAAATAGTGTGTCGTTCATATAATCCTAATTTGTGTTTGCATAGGAATTATTTCTTATGCTACAACTAGTCGGTATTATTTCCGTCTCATCAAAGTAGGGAACCTCTTTCACACTCGTCACCAGGTGTAACTATTGGTAATTCATGTGTGGAGATCTTAGTGTACAATAGTTTCTCACTCACACTAGGAAAAGACTGATTTGAATTCTAAAATCGTTTACCTGTTATCATGTCTGTCACAGCCAGGGTGAATATCAGCAAGTTATATGCAGATCTGAGCATCCGATAATTCTTCAGTATAAGAATGCAAAAAAGACCGTTGCCAATAAAAGCCAGGGCAGCAATAAAACCAAACGCTACTGACAGCGGGTAGGAATAAGCTACAGCTGAAGCGGGAGGCGTAGTCGGTGTCGATATATTTGTCAGATATCTTGGGGAGCTTTTATTGTTTAACATCTAAAGACGACACAGTGAAAACAGAAAAAAATCAGTAGCAATCGCAAGGCGGAATACTAAGGACATTGTAATTGGAACCGTCTTATTTTAAGCGAGTGGGAACTGAAAATGATGTTTATTATCCACTCAAAATATTTCCCTGTTTCTGATTGGCTTAAATGACCCCAGGTTGATTTTTCATAATCAGCTACCGTTGACCCGCAAATTTGGAAGAAGTTTGCCGATATTCGGGGCAATACAATTTGACGTCAATTGTGTAGTATCAACAGAAAAAGGGACAGCGGAGGGCAAGGTAGAAAAGTAGGTCAGCTGTCTCGGTAGAGCTTCAGAAAAAGTTGTAAAATTTCACACGTTTTGCAAACAAGAAATAGCTTAACTATTGCCTAGAAACGAACAAAGGACAGCAATTAATACATTTAGCACTGGGCGGATGACAACTTCTATTTGAAGAAAATCTGCTTGTCAAAATTACAAACCATTTATATCCTAAATTTGCTGAGTTACGGAGATGCGGACTTCACTTCGATCGAGGAAAGCGTGTTTTGAAGTTGGAAATAACTATTTTGAATGAATAATGAAACAATTACCGAATTTGGCTTTCGTATGATATGAAGAATTATGTCAATCGTTGAGATTTAGTGTTATCTGCCGGGGAGACTTGATTGGTTAATAGTAGTGCCCAAAAGGTAGTAGTAGTATTTCAGCGTAATATTGGTATAACAGCAAATACGGATGACAACAAACAATAACAATTTATAGTAAAAAAAATCCTAAGACTTGGATGAATGTTTGGGAGAAGCGTTGGCCAAAAGAAAGAGTATTAACAACGACGGGGTGTGTGGATAAGAAGCCAAAGGGCTTGCAATTTGCAAAGTGACGGCTCTAACTATATAATGAGCTGGATAGTCTGAGGGTTACCGTAAATGATCTAATTGACGCCCCCTCTTAATATTTGCCTCCCTTAAGATCTAAAATTATTAAGTTTGAATTAATGAGACGCCCCACTCTAAGAAAACGCCACCCGTCTAATAGACGCTCCCATGACAATTACTGAAAATAACAGGAAATAACAAAAAGGAGCAATATCATGCAAATTATTTGTTTCGTTCTTCCTTGGTTAAGGAGGGTTTGGACTTTGTATCTTGTTTAAAGTCATGTTTAAAATAAGGATAGGCTAACGATGACACTGTAGCAGTTGACATTTGACTGAAAGCGATATGGTCTCTTGATGGCCTAGACATTTCAATGACTGGAAGAATATATATTGTGCTATTTGCAAATTCTCTTGGTATTTTCGCTGAAATCACATTAGTTTTGTAGAGCTTGTCACAGCAGTGCCGCATCAATACCTTGAAATAAGGGAGTCGGTTATCCAGGCCCTTTGATAGAGCGGGGGACCCGGTCTCAAAAAAAGTTTTTTTCGGCCCTTTGGGCCTCAGTTTAGTCTACAAATAACGGGGGGGGGCCTCGGGCCCCTCCTCTGTATCCGCCGCTGCACGGTAGTATGAGAATAAACGCCTCCTATCTATTAAACGCTCATTCTTGGACCCCTAAGATTGAATATAAACTCCCCCTGCATCTGAATCATTTACAGTATATTTGCTCCGGGGGAGGGGGGGCACTCCCTTATTTTGCCTATACGGGTATGTGCCGCTGAACAGGGTATGGTTTTCAGGGTCTTGAGTCTTAAACAGGGTATATAATTTCACTATTTAGCGTCTTTAACAGGGTTTCTTTTTAAACCGGAAGCCGGGGATCATTTACCGTATATTAGCTTTCTCTCGACAGACAAAATGACAGCAAAATTTGCATAGCAAACCAAGAATTTGTCAAGTTCAGGCAGAAGGGAAAGGCAAGAGGTCTTCGCGAGAAAGGCTTCGGAAAACGACCAAATTCAACAAAAGCACTCAGAGCACTTACCATTCAAGATGAAGAAATGAAAAAGGTAGGTAGTTTTCGGCGATAGTAAATCACTTCTTTATACTCCCAAACGCAAACATCAAGAGTACACCACTTTCATGGCTGCTAAGCGACAATAATGACTGATTAAGGAGTTGGCGTTGGTGTTTTACAAAGAAGAAACTTGGCGAGTCATAACTTCAGTACTTTTTGTATGTGAAGTCAATGCGTGATCTCTTACCACTGCAGTTACTGCAAAAACATTTAACCTTTTTCATGCTGTTTGCTACATTTTCGACGCTCAATACTAGAAGCTGTCAATCATTTGCCTATTCTTGACGTAAAAAGATATTTTGAATGAAGCGCCACTTTGGTAAGAGTTTTTTCATTCAACTAGAACAAAATAAAGGTATCTTGAATGTTGCCGACAGTTTCTCGGCTTCTATGATAAATATATAATAGCATGAACTCTAGGTGGTTTCATGCTTAGATTGCGTCAGCTGTTGCGTATATCTAGTTGTGTACCCACGTACACAACTGAACTCTCGCCCAGTCCCTTTTGGCTAAAAGAGGTTTTTGTCCATACGCACTCACTGTCACCGAAAACTTGACGGATCTTAAAGAAAAGGCGAACTTCAAGCAGTCTACCTCTGAGAGGACCTTTTTGTAGTTGTGTTTATGAGTAATAAATGTTGTGTTACTTTATGAGTAATAAATTTTTGTCTTGGTAAAAGCTCATGCTCGCTTTGTTTCGATCCTGAAAGAGCAATTTTCCCTCCACGGATTGTTCGTTTATAACGAAAGTGCGTAGTTTCTCGCCATTAATTAACTTGATTTCAAAGGGCTAAGCAAACGTTAAAAAATGAGGACACTATATAATCGGATGTTCCCCGACTCATATGAGCTTGTGGTTTTTATTTCCAACTGAATGTCATTCTTTGAATGAGAATTTTTCTACGGGGCGTCTGGTAATTTGCTAACATTTCACCGCTTTTGCTGTTGGTTTGAGTGGCTAGAAGCTGTCAATTCCAAAAAACCTAGAAAGTTCTTTAGTATTTTGTTCAATTACTTATAGACTTTGTTGAAAGTTAGAGGCGAAAATCAAAGTTTAATAAACACAATTACCACGCCTATATACGCACGCCGTGCGCATGTAAGACACCGTTATGACGACATCATAATGGGATTTTATGGCAAGGCATTTGATAATGGTTTTCAGGCTAAGGCGGCAGGTTCCAGGCCTATCTTATTTTCAACCAATCAGAATTTAGGGCGTCCAAGACTATATCGTTCATTCTTAGGCGCGCTTTTCCATGCGCTCGCCCATTTCGAACGCTCACCATCACGTTGTTCACATCGCTCGTTTGAACCAATTTTTAGCATTTTCCACCACCTCCCCTTCCGCCTACCTGCGAATTAATTCCTAGTGTGTTTCTCTTTCTTGTCTTAGTGGGTGGCGGTTTTTCCACCACCTTTGCTGAAGAGATATTTGGTTTATTATATATTGGCAGATCTTGAAAATAAAGTTCGTCACGTTTGGTGGCCAAATTTTATCTGTTGTATCTCCTCAGCACACAAGTACGCCGCCACGCAGAGTTCTTGGTCACGCAATGCAAAGTTTTCAGCGTCCTTCTTACCGAAAAAATGGCTTGATATAAAAAAGAATTTTCGACTCGAAAGGACGTAGATAGGGCAAGCACGCGCACCATGTTATAATTGGCATTAATACCGGCTTGTGATATTTCAAAATTGCCCAAAACACCACTTGCCGCTTCGCGGATACTATTATTTTGAAATGTCATTCGTAGTATTATTGCCAAATACCACTAAAGCTTAAGCTATTAACTGTACATATACAAATGAAGTCCCATAATTTCAACTTTTTTCAGTACTAAAATAGATTTTAAAATGTTATTTTTGTAACACTGCCATTTCTGATATTACTTTTTTAAGTTTACACTGTCTCTTTCATAGCCGCAGGTATGTGTACCACAAGACTTTTACTAAAACGGGGAAAGCGAATTGGGGAGCGAGTCACTGGGAACGGAAAAATGAAAAACGGGAATAAAACACAAAATTGTAAAAGAAGGAACTGATAGGGTAAGGGTTTGAGGTAGATTTGTATTCAGTTTACTTAATACAGATCGCATGTATTTAGATCTTTTATATCTGATGCAAGACACTTGACCTCATTTGCGTACTCCATAAATTGGCGGATGTTAACGATGAACTTGAAATATTGTACACCATGACAATACTCTTAATGCAAAATAAAATAATCCGCGTGAATTTAGTCACTAAAATAGTACTTAGTCTGGTTTTTACGGATGTTAAGTAAAAACGAAAAACCTAGAAAGGGGAATGGGAAGCGAAAAAATGGAAAAAGTAGAGAAAATTAACTCGGTCAAAAGCGGCTGTTGAGTGTTATTCACTGAATTGCACCTGTTCACAATGGAAAGATTGTTGATGCAGACGCTGAAGTTCCTTTAGTTCAAGCTGGAGTTTCGGTGATAAAAGTCTGTTGGGGTAGATACCAGCTGCAAACACTTCGCTTTATCTTTTCAGGAACAAAATGTCCGGCTCATTATATAATAAAGGATAATAAAAAGTTTAAGCCATTCAAAAAATATACGCAGTCTGCATGCAACTCATAAACCGCAGTTCTAAACAAGAGACGATGAAGGTTTTGCCGTCATGTTGAATCAAGGAAATGTCACGTGGTCACGTATCGACCAATTAGTCATTTTTCGCCAGCAGGGGCTCATGGGCTCCTATCGCCAGGAATGAAGCTAGGGACCACTTTCCCCGAGTACGCGCACTTACCACCTGTTGAACTAACGCTGACTGTAAAACCGCAGTCCGCTTCGTCTACGTCAGCCGGAAGCTTAACGAAAGTGTAACAAGCCTGACCACAGCTGAAAAGACTGAAGTGAAGAGAAATGCCAGTTAACCGATTCTTCAAATAAGCTCACTGCAAACACCACTGGTTTCCTCTTGCTTGCAGTCGTCGACATCGTAACCTTGATTGACCAAATTACGAAAAGTCAACATCACACCACCGTCAAATGTTTCCATTTCAAATTCTCCACTTGCTACTCTCGATCTGTTTTCCTGTGCTAGACTTATCTCCCTTCGTTTCTTGCATCGGCAGGAATTAAAGAAAGGGCAAAGTAGCATAAGAAACCCTTTTCTATATTCCCGGTTTGTGGAGCAATAAATGACAGGATTGGTGCACGAGTTGAACATAGCAAGGACGATAGTGAAGTGATGGAAAGGCGACTCCAGTCT